GAGTGGCCACTGCACTCCAGTCTGGGTGACAGAGTGAGACTCCAACTCAAAAAAGAAAAATTTACCTTAAAGTAGCTTGTTTTTGCAATATTTCCTGAAATAATAGACCTTTAAAGGGGGACAGGATCTTGGAGAGTATCTAGTTGGCCCCACCCCTTCATTTTACAGATGAAGAAAGTGAGACAGAGATGACGTATGTCTCCCAGGCCACCCACACAGGGAGTGAGAGTGGTAGAACCAGACCGGGAAATCATTTCTTCTAGCTCCCAGGCTGGTACTTTCCCACCACACCTAACCATCTGCTGTCTTGGTAATTGTGTCTTTGCTGGCATTTGTTCTCTCAGAAGTGTCTGGAGTTCCAAACATCCTACACCTCCTGAATTATCCCTTTAAAGATACCAAGATATCTTGTGGGTTTTCTTTTAATCAACAAGACTTTTTCCCTACGTTTTTCCTACTTGTAGGAACTGTTGTTCTCTTTTTGCCACTTATATTGCAAACTCTTAATATTATTTTGCTTTCATCTAATACGAATTAATGAGTACCTAATGTGTGTCAAGCACTGAGGTAAGCATTAACAAATTGACTGCCTTGTATATGAACATACAAACCTCCTACTAGCTGTCAGCTAGAGTTTGATACGTGTAAAGAGTGTTTTGAGCCAGGCTCGGTGGCTTAGCCTGTAATCCTCTGCCTTTGGGAGGCTGAGGTGAGTGGATTGCCTGAGCCCATGGGTTCGAGACCCGCCCAGGCAACTTGGCGAGACCTCGTCTCTACAATAAATCAAAAAATTAGCTGGGCGTGGTAGCGCGCTCCTGTAGTTCCAGCTACTTGGAAGGCTGAGGTGGAAGGATCGCCGGAGTCCAGCAGGTCGAGGCTGCGGTGGCCGGGAGTGGCCACCATACTCCAGTCTGGGCGACAGAGTGAGACTCCAACTCAAAAAAAAAAAAAAAAAAAAGAGTGTTTTGATTGGGTACACAAGTCACCATGGGAGCCCCAGCAGTGGCAGCTAACCTTTACAAGAAACCTGAGTGACACCTCCTCAAAGAAAATCACATCTAATTAAGTCACACTAAAGGCAGTCTTACAGGATAAGTAGGAGTTAGCCATACAAAAATGTGGGCCACAGAGGATTGACACAATACAGAGACTGCAAATAGCCCCAATAAATGGAGACACATGCTAGAACAGCACACTTTAGACTTATATTTGTCACTGGCCCCTGCAAAATAATATTAAAAGCTTGCAACATAAGTGGCAAAAAGAGAACAACAGTTCCTACAAGTAAGGAAAAACATAGGGAAAAAGTCTTGTGTTGATTAAAAGAAAACCCACAAGATATCTTGGTATCTTTAAAGGGATAATTCAGGAGGTATAGGATGTTTGGAACTCCAGACACTTCTGAGAGAACAAATGTCAGCAAGATTTTCTGTGTTCAGTGCACAGCTAATGGTCTTCAAACTTTCTTGTCTTTAGACCATTTGGGTGAGATAATAGCACTATGGATAGGGTAATTATTTGTCCCACACTGCCTGGGACACCCAGGTTTATGTCTGTTGTTCTGACATTAGTAACAGTGCCACTTTCACTCTCAAGCATGTTCGAATTTGAACAATATAGGTTCATCATACTCTTAGACCATCAGCCATACTCTTCCACCACACACACACACGGCTATGTCAAAAGTCTTTTTCATTCCCTAAGAACTAAATTTTTACTGTAATCAGGGTATTTTAGATATCATTTAGCCTAACCTACCTCATCTTATAGATGGAGAGACATGGTGAAAAAAAATCTCTTAAGTATTTGGGGTAACCAGTCCGTAGGCAATGTCATGAAAAACCTTATCTGCTATAATATCCATAATGGAATGCCTAAAATACATTCTAAGTCTATGAGGAGAAAAGGCAGTGCCAGATTAAGAAAATAGGAGATTTTGGTCATTTCTGCAGTGTGAAAAATATTAGGGCTAAATGAGGTGACTCAGTGAATAAATGTACATGAAAAGTGCTTTGTGGACAGAAAAATACAATGCAGCTATTAGTAATAAGGTTAATTGCCTTAATTTCCTGTGCCAGGGGAGCCTCTGCTTTGCTCAGATATTCTGAAGCATCATAGCTGCTCCTATCTCTTTAGAAGCCTGGCCTTGACCACTGACCCAACCCATTGTTGCCTAACAGTAAACTTAGAGCCAGACTTAGCCAAACACAATTGACCCAAATCGCTGAGACTGCATAGCCCCAAAGTCAATCCGCAACTCAAAGGGATTGAAGTGGCACAATTCAAGGCGTTAGGAAGCAAAGATATAAACCTGCTGACTCATTTTCTCTGGATACTCCTCTCCTCAGACAGGCTTCATCTCCACCCATCAAGAAACTCATCAAACACTTGCACTTACTGCTGGGGACTGAGGTTTTGAACCCACATAAATGTATCGAAAACTCTTGGGATATAGGGGGACAGGGGGAGGAGCATGAAGAAGATGTTAAAAGAACCCATGGTATCAGAAACATCCCGAGCTGTAAGTTTGAAGGCCCAATTCTATCTTGCCTGTGCCACTTATAAGCTGTGTGACTTTGGACACCACTTTGACCTCTGTGAGTTCTCTTCTACAAAATGAAGGGGCTGGCTGAAATATGTCTAAGAGCCCCCAGCTCTGAGAATCTCATTACAAGTCTATGAAATAACCTGACATGTTCAATTGGTTTTCAGTATGATACACTTAAATAATGCCATCTTTTTAAAGTGTGGAGCCTTTGAGTAGAAAACTAAAAGCAGCCTAATTCAAACGTCCAGGAATACGCATCTGAAATGTGTATCTTGTTTAAAGTAATGCTAAAACCCAGGAAGCAGGGAGAATCCTTTCTACCTAAAAAGAGTGTAGTTACAAGTAGATGAACGCCAAATTCGATGCTTAAAAATGCCAAGAAGAACTGTTCATGAGTCTGAATGTCAACCCCACAAGGAAGGTGAGCCAGACCTGCGATGACTTCTCAGCTGTCTCCAGTTTTGAAGTGCCACACCCTTTCTGAAGCTAGCGTTGCGGATTCATTCCGAGTTCCGAGGTAAGGTTGAAAATGTCCTAGAAACGTTTCCTCCTTCGTGAATCACTGCTGCACCCTCCACCTCCTAACCATGTTATTTCTTCATACTCTTACCTTGTATGGTTAAGTGATTTTACTCCCTATACGGCATCTTTGGTGGCCGGAGGCCTGGCAGCCGGAAATACTGTCCCCTGGGTTTGGGAGATGAGAGACGACAGCACTAGACTATGACAGTCCAACCTTGAAAACAACCCATTATAACCACTTGGTCACTATCTCGAATCCGTTCAAATCACTGTTTTATGAATTGCCCAAAAAAGGAAAATCCCCGGCGTTACCACCCCACGTTGCTTACCTGGAGTCACAGTATCCTGGAAAACGCTCCGCAAAGAAAAAGGGCAGGCGAGGAGCACAAAGACCTGGACGTGGAAGCAACCCTCTCAGGCAGGAGCTGGGAGCTCACCTGCTCAGCCGCCCCGCCCACTGCGGCCACGCCCACCTTCGCTCTCCGGCCCCGCCCGCCGCTGCACTCCGTTCTTGGTCATGCCTCTTGGCGGCCTGTCTGCGATTGAAAAAAATGATGCAGGCTGAAGTTGCTGTTGTCTTCACAGCTTCCAAAGGCCTCCAACATGCTCAGGCAGGAAGAGGCTGTCGGCAGATCCTGCCTTGGGCTAAATCTCACACACACACACACACACACACACACACACACACACACACACACACACACACGAATTCAGGCAATCCAAGTGGCCTGCGCAGGACTGGAAAGTAAAATATTATAGGAAGTTAAGAGGACATGATTAATGAATAAACTCATAAACTCATACTCAGAAGGAATAAGGTCTAGTATTTATTAGCAAAATAGGGCTTCTATAGTTAATAATAACTTATTGTGTATTTTAAAATAACCAAAAGAGTGGGATTGGGATGTTTCTAACAAAAAGAAATGATGAATGCTTGAGGTGATGAATACCCAGTTACCCTGATTTGATCATTACACATTATGTCAAAGTATGGGGGAAGGAGCAGAGAGAAAAGAAAAAATATGTACATAATTATGTACAGCTATTATGTACCCATATCATTTTTAAAATAAGCAAAAAATAAATAAATGGGATGTGTAATCATAATACTTTAATTTTCTCAAACACACTGGTGTCACAAAAAGTACTCTAATCTCCATCCTTACTATGTAAACTACAGAGCTCATTCTACTAGATGCCAAAAGAGGTAGCTACCTATTAAACAGAAAGGCAACCACAAAAGAAAGGAAATCACAAAATGGATACATACACACACACACACACATATACACATACACATATATACTTATTTGGGAGCACCATTTCCCATATATATGCATATGTATATACATACCTAAAAATTAGGTATATTAGCAAAATATTTATTACTGAATTGATAGGGGTACTTGTTTAATGGAATGTCCCAGGGAGTTCCCAATAAAATCTTGTGGTTAGGATTATATCACTTTGCTCTGAAATTTCTGGGGAGCCTGCTCTTGACATACTCCCAGTGTCCTGCTCCTTCAACTCGCTGGACCCATTCCCTTCCTGCCAAATCTGTTCTCAGGAAAGGACTTGAAACTGAGCCAGTCATTTCCCAGCTTCATCATAGTTAATTTATCTTACAGTCTCCTTCATGTGACGATGAGAAATTTAAAGGTAAGCGCCAAGCCTCATTCATTTCTGTAACACTAGTGCTTGGTACGGACTTGTCATACAGTATACAGTCAATAAATGCTTGTTGATGAAATGAATGAGAGTAACTCATGAGGCTAAACTAAGATGGACCAAATGCTCCCCCTCCTCCCACGTCCTGCATATTTTACTATTAACAAGGATCAACATCATAAACTAAATGAACTGAGCTCTGAAAATAGAATTTCAGGCCTCAGCGGAGCAAGTGGAGGCAGGGTCATAGGTGGAGAGAATGGGCAGGATGCCTCTTACAAAATTATACTCTCTGGGGAAGAGTCAAAAATTTTCAAGTGGACTCGACCACTCATTTCTTGAGAAATCCTCAGAGGTGTTGAATCTCTCTAACCTCAGATTTTTCATCTGTAAAATGAGGTCTACATAGTTCTCATTTGTAAATGTGATGTATAAAATGAGATAGCGAGAGAGAGATGAGGACACAATACATTTATAGTGTCTGGCGCATAGCATGTGCTTCCTAATGATGCCAATCAGGAAGTTGCTTATTCCTTAGGCAGGCCCAGGAAATGAACATAGTGTCCAAAAAGCTGGAGCGTGATATTGTCATCTAATGCACCACAATTATGTACTGAACTCTTGTTGCATACTTCCAAAGATCATCAGGGATCCGCACTAAAATCATAGAGCTTGTCTATTCTCCCTCTTATTCTAATTCACTCCACAACACTCCTGTTCAATGCTTGCCTAACCTGGGCAGAAACATTTCCAGACAGGAAAGTAGCAATGCCAAAGGAAGCCCAAACATAATGTCTTTGGATGATTCTGTTTGAAAGTTAGAGATACCATTTAATTAGGGATATAGGACACGCTCCCTCTCCCCACCCTGCCCCGCAAGGAGCTTACAAATAGTAGAGTAGGAAGATAAGAAAACTATCTGACGGCATATAATAAGGGACATAGAGGTGCAAACGACAGAAGGTGTTCAGAGATGATTGCAATCTTTTCAGTCTGGGGGTGACTGGGAAGAAGAAACATGGAGGCCGTGTCGTTGGACATCGGAAGACCATTCAGGCTTGGGACAAAGTGTGAACAAACGCCCATAGCTGGAATGGCACTAAGTATGGACAAGTGTGATAACAAAAGGTTAAATAAAGAATTCCCTATCAAAAGCTCTCACTTGTTAAAGCATCCCTGGTAGTAACTAGATTATCTAAATATTCTCACCCTCTCATTCAATATTAGAAGAACTAATATTCTTCTCCATGGCGCTCTTCATCTTAAGTTATTTTGAATTCCACCTAAAAAGACACTGGAGAACAGAAAAGTGGGAGAGGATAGGGTTATACAAGTAGTTCACGGTGTAAAGGTCACACATTAGCCGGGCATGTTGGTGCATGCCTGTAGTTCCAGCTACTTGGAAGGCTGAGGCGGAAGGATCGCCTGAGCCCAGAAAGTCAAGGCTGCGGAGGCCATTAGTGTACCACTGCACTCCAGCCTGAGACTCCAACTCAAAAAATAAAGGTCACATGTTTTCAGTCTAGTTTCTTGAAAATATGACCGCTGATTAATTTTAGGAGCAAATGGCCTCAGTCATTGACTGTACATTCAACAAGTGAGTTTCTACTTTGCCTCCCCATTTCAATTGAACATTTTATTAGAGTCTGTGATTGATTAAGTAAGTATTTATCAAAGTGTCAGATCCTGGGCCAGACCCTGGAACAGTAAGAATATGACCTAGGTATGGCTCTCAAGCAGACTACAGTTTAGTTTAAATTCCTGGTATCTACAATAATTTTTAAGATATAAAAAAATACACATTCTGAAGGAAAAACCTGGAAAGAACAATGTTGTCAGCTGTGTTAACATGTAGACTTAGAGACATGAGACTTATTAGAAAAAGATTCTACTCATACTAAACTCAGAGAGCAGCAATATCAAAATAAATATATGGTATCATTATCACATGTAATCTTCAATCTCTTGCCTCATGAAAAGCCTTTCATGTGGCCTCATCAAAAGACAGCTCTAGAGCTCTTTTTATCTTCCTTCCTCTTGGAAGTTTGAACCTATAGGAAGCAGAGATGAAACCAGATTTTATAGTTTTCTATACAACATACAATTCACTTATTATGTTTACTGTTGATTGGCTTCTCCAGCTAAAATCTAAGCAGAGTGATTGGTGTGTTTTTTTTTTTTCCCCTGTTTATCCACTGATGTATTCCAAGAACTTAAAACAGTACTTGGCACATAGAGGATACTTGGCACATAACAGATGTAGAATGAATGAATAGCAAATAACACTACCTGAAAATGCAGCAGGCTACATAAAATGTTAATTTACGTAAGGATGATTTCAGCCCATAAATTTGAAGTCAGTCTGACATTTTCTTAAATACCAGCTACCTTTCCTACAGTTCTTTATCGATGATCAAGACCACAACATCTGATTTATCCCAAACATTTTACATTTGTAAAATAAATGTTTCTTTAAAACATACCTAGTGAGAGAAGATCTGCCTGTCTGTAGAAAAAGCATTTGCTCTATAATTCTGAAAAAAAATCTAAAATGTTCTTTTCTCTCTTTTGCTTGCCACAAAAGCCATTTTATTGACCATATATTAAAAAGAGTATGATTTTTTTTTTGGAGGGAGAAATATAGCTTAAAGAATGAATTGTCCATGTATTCATTCATTCATTATACAGCTTTATGAAACAGTAACTTCCTCTGGTTCATCAAAAGTCACCATTGGCCCAAATATTTAATAACCTAGGAAACTGTTTTGTTGGTTCTGTTTCTTACCTATAGGTTGAAACTTTGCAAACATTACAACTTGATTACTCAGCATTCTGGCTGAAGGATGACTTGTCACACCCAGCCACTCCCAGGAATAAACCAAAGGAGCTTTGTTATAGCTTGTTTAGAATCTCTTCTTCTTCTCCTCCTCCTCCTCCTCCCTGTGTGTCTGTCTGTCTGTCTCTCTCTCTCTCTGTGTCTCTCCTTTCTCCCTCCCTTCCTCTCCCCTACTCTTTCCCTTTCTCTCTCTCTCTCTCTCTCTCCTTTCCCCCCTCCCTTTCTCCTCCCCTCACTCTTTCCCTCCCTCCCTCCCTCTCCCTCTCTCTCTCCAACCCCCTTTCCAAAGAAGTAATTCTCACAAATTCCCAAGCACTTTTCCAGATATTTACATTCATCAAGCGGGTTCTTTTTTCCCTGTTGACAAATATGATTGCCACTGATTCATATGACACCTCTCCCATACAACAGTGGAAGAATGTTAGCCTTGCACTTTTCCAACAGTTCACAGAAAATGCACAATAAAGGCTCCAGGCTCCTGCCTGGTCACTGAGGACTATTATCTCCTTTTCACATGCGTAGAAACTGAATCAGGAAAGAAAAAGTCACTTTACTTGGAAAGACACAAAAAGAAATATTTTTAAACGTCCAGATGTATAATTCTTTACCCTTACTATTTTGAAAAGCCAACAGTTCCATGCTTTACGTCTTATCAACTTCTAGTGTTTGTTTAGGAGAAGTTTTATATTAAGTGACAACCTGTTGTGGGAGATAACCTATGTGAAAGTCTCTGGCATAATCTGCCTCTAAAATGTTTAATACTATTGTAAAAACAAATCTGAGCTGAAAATTTCATGATAAATCACTTAGGTTTGGTTGGTGGATGCAGGGAAGAGTGAAAAAGAATTTGTCTTGGAGTCAAATCTGAGCCAAACTCTGCCACTCATTCGCTACTAACCATTAGCAAAAAACTTACCTTTTCTGGGCCTCAGAGTTTTCTATATTAAAAAGGAGTGAGGGGTGCCATTGATTTATCGCACCTATAGTCCCAGCACTTTGGGAGGCAGAGGCAAAAGGATTGCCTGAGCCCAGGGGTTCAAGACCAGCCTGGGCAACTTGGTGAGCCCACGTCTCTACAATTAATCGGAAAATTAACCAGGCATGG